TACAATGAGGCTCAAAGATTAATGAACTTGTCTATTATTAACTTAATAATTAACTTGCAAGTAAAGGAGCTGGGATTAGAATCCAGCAATCTGGTGCCAGAATATGTGATCTTAGTCACTATACTACTCCACAATAAAAAACAATTTGGTGAGTGTAATTATATTCACAGATATTTAAAATAAATTGTGACAGAAAGTAACATGAAAAGTGACTTTCTCATTGTGAATATTCATGCTGAAGGGTCAGAAAGTTCTTGAAGGAGCATAAGGATTTTTTTTCTTTTGACATTGAACAAATCTAAGTAATTGATTCAAATGTCCAATGGCTTTTTTTTTTCATCCTGAAATAATTCCAAATGGTCATTTACCAAATATTCTGAGCAGGTACATTTTGAGTAGTCGGGGTAGGTCAGGCCGTGAAATAAATTTACATAAAATAATTGATTAATCCAACTTCAGAGAAAAGAATTATACTACTGAACAAGTACCTTAAAATGTTCATAACCTAAAATAGCATGAATAAGAAAAAGTAAAAACTTTAGATCTATCACTTTTAACCTGACTCCAGAGATTAAAAAAGCTGTTATTGAATCCAACTCTATCTTTACTTGATGAGGAAGAAGACCCTGAAAGAGGAAACCCAACTCTGTAGGAAAGAATAGACTTGGAAAGTTGTTCTCTGTGGATTTCTCAGGGATAGTAAGAGACAAACTACCTTGCTGGCCTACACTCACCTGCAAGGGTTTCATGAATAACACTAGATCTGGGGAACTTGACCAGGCAACTCTGAACAGAGAAAAGCATAAGGTGGGACACAGAGGAGAACCTGAGGGCTACTGGGCCTTCCGGTCTCCTGGTCATAGTTTTTGGTCCTTATGAACATTCTGAATGGCCAGCATACCTGGGATGTCTTGAAAAGCTTAGAATTTGCAGTAGATAAAAACCTTCATCAATCAGTCACACAGCCCTTGTTCCTGCCCAGGAAAAACTGCTACACTGAGAATTATGGGATGTAATCAAAACAGTCCCTCACTCAAGGGGGCTGACCAGATCCATGTCAGCAACCTTCCATGAGCAAATGAAATAAGGCATGTTGATTATTCTGACCTTTCAAGTAGATGCAGATAAACCTGACAAAGGTGAATAAATATCAAATCAGTTAAAGAAACATACTGCAAGGCAGGAAATGGTTACACTCATGCTTCATAGTATTTGTCATGAAAATCTTTTTAAAAAATCTAGAATCTCTCTTTTTTTGTGAATTAAAAACAAAATCAATTTTTGCTTTATCAAGAATTTTTGTCACAAAAAAGTAATCATCTTCTTATGCTTTGATATGTGCATCATTCAGAATACCACATTTTTATTTTACCATTAAATTGACTTAAAATAATTTTCCTCATTAGAAATGTGTGTGATTCTTTAAAAAACAATAAAGAATATGTTGCTCATATATTTAACATTTGACAAACCATCAAAGTTGATGATGAAAGTTATTACTCTCATGAACTATATATATATATATATATATATATATATATATATATATATATGGTAGGCTCCATGCCCAGCATGGAGCCCAACATGGGGCTTGAACTTACGACCCTGAGACCAAGACTTGAGCTGAGATCAAGAGTTGGACACGTAACCTACTGAGCCACCCAGGGGGCCCTCATGAACTATATTGTATCTCAAATTTCATAAAATAATGCTTGCCATGTACAAAAAACCCCACAAGAATTAAAAAAAATAAAGAGCCCCAGGATCATGAGAATCCCTATAAGAAGACCATTATTTTAGAGACAATATGATACTTTAGAGCATAGAGATTCAATCCTGATTCTTTGTTAACAATTTAGCTTTGTCTGACCAATGAACACTTCTGATTCAGATTGCTGTCCAATGATAGTAGTCTTTGACTTTCAGTTAATATTAGCAGTGTGTTTCCTTTGCATCATGGTAATGACTGCACACTGAAAGGCCCACTCTCCAAAAATGGATCCCACAGTATACAAAAATCTTTAAACAAATTTAAACTGAAAATTTGGCATTAAAAAGTGTTCTTCCTAAAACATATAAGGAGAGGAATGAATTGAATCTCTTCCATAGTACTACTTCTGGTAGTGTCTGACCCTTTCTTAGCTGTTGAGATATTTCTTTCTGCTTCTTAAAAACAAAAACAAATAAATGTACTCTTTCTCTGTAACAGGCTTTCTCAGCATATCTCCTGTTCTGATAACTGAAATTATATGCTTATATTCTTAAAAATAAGGCAGGAAAGAGTTAACATGAATATTTCTATTCTATTCAATCCCCAAACCTCCAGGGGGAAAATATGTTTTTGAACCTTAAATTATAGGGATGAAAAGTACAAGGGTCCCACCAATTGTGAAGTTCAGTGAGGAATAAAGCATTGTAATCTTAGCTGTCAGCATAAAAAGCATCTCTCAGAAGCTTTGTTCCAACTATAATAACTTGGTGTGCTGGCTAGAAAAAAAATTTATGATCATATGAGCTTCATGCATGATTGATACCATTACTGTTTATTTTAAGACTGTCCTTGAGAATCAATCAAATAAGCATTCCCAGTGTGTGTTTTGCAATCAAGAATGAAGAACACAATATAAGTGCTTTTCTGGAGAATATGTGATGGACTATTCCTCCTATTAGAGCTTCCTACCAAAAAGAAATACCTAATAAAGGTGAATCAGGCAGAAATTCATGTCAGATGTTCTTTATAGTATGTTGAATTAACAAGCAGCTACTCTTATAATTGAAAAAAGAAAAATAGAGATTATCATTACACATAAGAAAGTATATAAACCCAACTAAGGATATGCTCAAGTGCTTAAAAAAACTAATTGGAAATAATACAAACTATGAAGCATAATCTAATCTAAGTCATTAGGAAATCTCCTTTGTATCAAATGAGGTTTTTAAGGTCTCAGATTGCACAAGCCTCTTATCATTCATAATTAAACGTTTGCATTGTGTAATAAATATGGATGACATAACTTAAAATACTCTAAAAAATAACTCTTTTTCCATGAACCTTTTTCACATACATATTGAAGAAGGGATCATGTATATTTGAAATGAAATCTCTTTTTTAGTAAAATCAACTTTTCTTGCATAATGAACTGAGGGATTCAAACTATAAAGAAATACAATAAAATTTATGTCTAGCCTCAAAAAGAAAACTTAATAATCATCCAAACACTGATGCTATCCCAACGATCTCTGAAAGCAAATCTAAGACTTTCCCAAAGCAAGTAGCCATCAATCCAGACTCTCCCTTCTACTCCATAGTGAGCAAAATAAAACCAAGCACTTACTTTTACCCACCTTCCCAATGCTCACCTTACCACCATCACTACTACCACCAAACTGAAGCAAGAGGCCCTTCGGCTTACAACATAAATAACAGCTTGCCATTTTCATTCCTTCAGTTTATGAACTAATTACTCCTTCATTTCAACATTAAATCATCTCCTGATTTCAGTGTTAGACAGAAAAAATCCATCGGTGGCATATAACTCTAAAAGTTCAAATTTGCAATCAAGAGAAGTCTGGACTTTCAGCCCCTTTGCATCTCTCTTTTTTTTTTTTTTTTTTTCAGAAAACCAAAGTTGTATTTTTCAAAAGGTTAAACAGTTTTGGTTTTTGAAATGGGGTTTCTGTGTAATACAATCATACTTAACATCTGTAAACTTCTGTAACTCTTGATAATGGTTCTTACTTTTTCAAATACTTTGTTTCTCTACCAACCATCACTTATTACATGGAGTCATAAGAACAGTTTATATAAACACAGTTATATTCAGAACATGGCCTCACACATGGCATTTATTATGCACACTTTGTATATAAATCTGTTACATGAAACATGTTCAAATGCTGTGCAACAGGTCCTGTTATTGTGTAAACACACACTCCCAACAAAATGACAGTAAGCTTTAAAGAATCAACAATATTTTAAAAATCACATTATTCTTCAGAGATTTAATTGTAATTCTTTTGAGACGTCAGAAGACAGAAGATCTCATCAAAAGTAGTATATTTTACTAAAACCCTCTTACTGTCTTTGTATTCCACTGTGTATGTTATAAACTGGAGTTAGAGCCCAGGTGTATACACACTTTCATTGATTTACTGCACATTACTGGCTTCAGTGCTGAGTTGATGACAGGAAGAGTACTTTGGCAGAGGTCTGACAAGTCCTTATCCTCAAGTTCCCTTCTGCTTTATGTCTGTCTGTTCCCAAAGCTGTCAAAGTAAAGCAAATGACAGACTAAAACCTCTCAGTTTTGCCCTGAGAGTGTGAAATCAAATTAAAAACACACCTCAGAACTACTACATTGGGCCACGTTTATTTTCAATTGACGGGGGAGGGGAAGAGAAGACACTTTAAAAGAGATGGATTTCATGTCCTCTGTAGTCAGATCTAGTTACAGTGTATTAAGTTATGTCTAAAAAAAAAAAAAAAAAGACTGTCTAGTCAAGTGTTTTATCACAAAGTAATGTTATTAAACATATCAAGTATTCCCACGCTCTCCTCTAGATTCTTTGATTTTAACCTCCTTTGTTAGGCACAGAACATGGGGAGAAAGATTTCAGGAACAATACCAAGGAAGCACATGATGCCAAGCAATGAATTCTGTATTTCCTGAACAGTTTATTCATCATAAACTCAAACTGCTTTTATTAAGCCACACGTTTGCTATATGTAGGACTTCGCCTCTTCCCTGGGTGACAAGCATGGACCAGCTACAAATGTATCTCCGAGCGCGCAGCATCGTGCTTTGTGCTGCTGGGGATAACGGATTCTCAGTCTCGCGCGCATCCATCACCTAAGACACAGGGAAACTCAACAAGGGTCTCGGCAGCTGCAAAGGAAACAATGTGTAGAGACCCAGGCTGCTCAGGATCCCAGGAGTGAACGAAATGTTTCAGAGAGCAGCCCAGGCAAGGGAGAAGGAAGAAAGCTCTCATACTCTTACCTCCACATTGAAATACTGCTCCGTTCCGCAGACGGTAGCACATAAAATCCAAAGCAGGGTTTGCAAGAAAAATACCCCCGAATGATGCACGAAATCCAACCGTCTTCCAGTGCTGAATGTGAGTAAGATCATAGTGAACTGTGCTTCAATGGATGGACGAGCTCCCCTACGTTTTCTCCCTTTCTCCCTCTCCCTCCCTCCCTGGTTTCCTTTCAGAAAAAGTCCTCCGTGTGGGTAAGGAGCCTGCAGGTTCACCCACAGCCGGGCAAGGGGAGAAGACTGAGGGCCCAGCACTCGGCAGCCCCCGAGAAACAGCGGCGGAGGCAGGGTCAGCAGCAGCCTGCATTCACCATCCTCGAGGGCCCGTCACCGGGAACGTGGCGCCCAAGTTCACCGGCGGTTCCGGCTCAAAGCGCCGAGTCGCAGCCGCAGCAGCAGCCGCCGCCGCCGCTGCCGCCGCCGCCTCCAGCCCGTGCGTCCTCCTTCTTCTCCTCCTCCTCCTCCTCCACCGCCCACTCCTCCGCCGCCGCTGCCACCTCCTGCTTCTGCGGGAAGGGCCTCCGCCGCTCCTCGCTTCTCGCCTCTGCTTCTCCTTCCCTCCTCTCCTCGCTCCCCTCCAGAATGTTCATCCGTAATCTACATAACTCCTCCTTCCCGGGGGTCTGCCTGACTCGCGGGCCCTCAGCGCGCGCGCGCACACACACACGCACACAAACACACCGGCGCGCGCGCGCACACACACACATATCTGCACATGAGCACACACACAACTCCACACACGGACGCGCGCGCTCTTCTTAAAGGAGACGGCTTGTGAAGGGGAACCGCTACTGTACCGCGCACTGGAAGTAACCAGACCTCCAGAAGGGCCCTGCGTTGGGACGAGGTCCTTGACACACCGCCCACCCCCTCTTCCCCGAGACTGGAACCCAGCAACCTGGGCGGCTCCATCCTTTCATCTCGCCCACCCCCTCCCGAGCGTCTAGAAACAAGTGCGCCCCTCCCCTGCGGGGACTGGGTGGGGCTCAGGCTGCGGACCCTGGCTGGGGCGGGGGAGCGGCCCAGGCCTGGTCCTGGAGAGTGGCTGGCGTCCTCAATCAAGCGTCCCTGGAAGGTCGGGGAGCGCTGGGAATCCGGGAGCGCCGAAGTCACTGCGCGCTCTTCGGGCGCTCGCGTCGGTTGCCAGGCTGGTCAAGTTTGGGAAGCCTGAGATGGCAAGTCCCGAGCGTCCAAAACTTTGTTGGGGTCCACCGACCGAGCCTGTGGCCCGTTGTTTCCCTGAATTTCTTCTACCATCGCTACAGCCCGCCTTTTCGGGCTAAGGGAGTAGGCACGGGATTTGGGGGTTGGTGCCTACTCAAATACAGAAGCGGGAAGAAAATGCTCACTTTCCAAAAATGTTCTATCCGGTGGACGTATGTACACACTGGGACCCAAGAGAGGGTCCCGGGCGTTAACAAAGCCCCGGGCCAGGGAGGGTGGGGACGCTGGAAAGAAACCCCGCTGCTAGAGCGAGGGGAAGGGCTGGGGAGGAAAAGAGGGGGCGCAGCCTGAGGAAAGGCGAGTAAAGCAGCCGGCAAGGGCGGGAGGAAGAGGCTGCGCGCGGACCGAGCGAGGGGAGAGGCTGGCGGGAGCGAGGAGAGCCGCAGGCCGGAGGAGGAGGCGGCTGGCCGGCGGCACAGGAGAGCAGCGGGCAGGGGAACTTCAGAAGAGGCTGCCAAAAAGGACTCGAGCCCCAGCAGTGTGAGGCAGTGGACAGCGGGGGCAGCAACCGCCAGCCCTTGGCAGGTGATGCTTTGGCTGAAAGAGAAAGGGGGAAGGGAAGCAGGCAGGCCTCTGTTTGGGGGCCACGCCAATAAATGTGCTTCTCCTTGGCAGCCAGCAGAGGGGAAGAGGAGCCCGCGGGAAAGAAATGCAGGAGAGGTTGAGAATAAAGGCTGCTCCAGGTGTGACAGCTACCTCGGTGAGGTGGAAGACGGAATTGACAAGGCAAATTTCATGGGTGAGTTGGTAGAGCAATAAATAAACCTGCAAGAGGTCATATTTGGTAAGCACATGAAAAACGTTGAAAAACGCTTTGCCAAAATTGCACTGAACTGTAATAATTTGCATACTAAAGAGAAACACAAGAAAGCTAAGGAATAGGATTTTGCAGCTAATGCTTTAAAAAAACTGAAGGAAATATGACCCACCTACTTTGACCCAAGACTCTCAGGGAGCCTTTTCTGGCGGTCTGCTCTACGCACAACATGTCCTATCCACAAAATAATTTTGAAGACATCATAAGAAGAAATACCTTATATTGTATAGCATATTAAAATTTGCAGAATGTTTTCACACATGGTATCTCATTTAATTCTCACAACATTCTTGAGGATTTTGTTTTTGTTTCACAGATGGAGAAATGACGGTTATAAAAGATATTTCCAGCAAACCATTCAAGTGGCAGATTTCAGACCTGAGTTTTCTGACTCCCAGTTCAGGGCAGTTCCTGCTACATGACAGTGACTTTCCATATAGAAATCCTTTTCTCCTTTTAACAGTTTTATAGCCCATGGGTTGAGATGATGTACATTAAAAAAAAAAAACCACACACAACGATTAGAAGGCAACATGAAAGGAAGACCATTATATAGAAGTTATACAGTGTTGTGTGCCAAAATGAAATAACAAAATGTGGTGGAGAGTATTTGTCAATAAATCAACAATCATTTTAATGTATACCTTATATTTAGCAAAGTGCAAAATTAGAGAGGGGAGAGAAACAAAAAAAAATTATACCCGTTTCCTAATCCTTGAGATACTATCGAAAGGAGGGAGAATTAAAAAATTTATGCAAGTTGTACATGAGAAAACCGTTCTAAATGGTGAAGTCCTTGCTAAATGAGCCAGAATATTAGCAGACTTTGTCGAGGAAGTGGAATGCAAGTTGAGTGCTGCTATCAGCAAAGAGGGATTTCTCACTGCAAGCAACCTGGTTGTTGAAGAAAATACCTGAGCTCAGAATAAAGAGATGTGGAGGATAAGATACGGGGAGGAGCTTGCAATGAAATATTGAGTTAACATTTCATCAAATAGTCAAACAAGGATTGCTAAACCATTTTAGATAGGAATAGGTACTAAGAAAGATTATCTTCAGAATTATGCACAGGATTGGCGATAGGGAGAAACTGGGTGCAAAAATGTAATGGTTTAAAAAGGTTGTAGTCCAGCTGTGAAACTGTAAGGGCCTATATTAGTGAGGTATCCTTGGAGACTTGTGCTTTTGAGGAGCCAAGAACAAGGAAATAAGAGTAGGGAACCATAAATTCAAAAGATAATCTCAAATCAATGATTTGTAATAATGATAAATTTTTACAAACATTTATTAAATTCTTTGGTGGGCATTCAATGAGCAATGAATGAATTAATGTGTGTTCAAGGTTCTAGAAGTTCTAACAGAAATAAAATAAATAAAATAAAATAAAATATTGAGACCGATATGTAATAATTATGGCAATGCTGTAAGGACTCAAGTAATTACATATGTGAGGTGCTACAGAACAGGGTGGAAGAAGGTAGTGATTTTCCTTGAGGTCCTTGGAGAAAGCATCACAAAAGTACTGATTTTCAAAGGGTATCTTGAAGAAAGTGTAGAAATTTATCGGTCAGATAAGAAACGGAAGGATATTTCAGACCTGTGTGCAATGGAGGAGTAAACATTACAAGATGAATCTGAAGAACTACAAATGATTTGTCAGGGCTGCAGACCAAGGTGTGTGTAAAGGTCAAGGTCAGAGGTTGCAGAGATCATATCAGAGAAAGTCCTGTGTGCCATTTCAGTCTTTAGACTTTTTACCCTAAAAGAATTCTTAGGAGAAGATACATGAATTTTCACTACATTTGTTGTATGTTTGCCAACTCTGTGGAAACAGTCACCTTTTAGAAGTTCTTATATTTTTTACTTCAAATGTTCTATTAAGCATTTAATATCTACTATCTTTGTAGACCTTATATCTGTGCTAGTCTAATAAGCCTGACGAAACAGTTCCCCATATGGACTCATCTGGGTACCTGTGGATATGTAATCACTTTCCTTGTCAGGTAAGTTTGTTATTCCATCTCTCATCTGTAATGTAGGCTTATCTTTTAAGAGTCAGAATTATGAAGAAGTTCCTACTCTCATATCTTAGTAGTGTTAGCTTCTTAGTTGGTGGTCTTCTTAGAGAAGAACTTGTTTTTCTATCCTCAGTAAGTTAAAATATAGAATATCATTCTTCCCTTTAGAGTGTTAATTAAATCTGTCCTCACACCTCTTGGCCCTTGCTGTGTGTGCTTTCTGTCACATACTTCCTTTCTTCTCACAATTTCACAAAACTAATGAACAATCTCAGAATTACATGTGAATGGAGAACAGAGAATCCAAAAAAGATTAAAGAAAATGAATAAGAAAGCCAAAGGAAAATAACAGTTGCCCCCCACAAAGGTTAACAGCAATTCAATAAAAATTACTTAGGAGAGAAAGGGTCTGAAGAAGTAAATGATATATATGACTCCCAAGAGACAAATGACAGATACTTGTAAGTGAGCAGTTGAGTGGCATGCTGAGATGTGTGAATGACTACAACTACCCAAAATAACGTTAGAGGTGAATAATATAATCATGGAACCCAATTTTTTAATGAACTAGAGCCTTAGATATGAGTTCTACAGCTTGGAAAGTTACATAAACTTGTTCATTCCTCTATCATTTCAATTTATGTGCTTTCTTCTCTATTTGCATCCATTGAACCGGCAGCTCTTTGTTTTGTTTTAATTCAGAGAATATTGAATTAGTGCTGAGCTATAGGCATTCTCTCATGCATCTGTTATTAGCAGGGGCATGCATATGTAGAACAGCCAGCTACAGCCTTATAATTTAAGGTGTGCCCCTGGTGGAACTGCAGGGTCTTAGAGCTTGTTGGAAAGGCTGATTCTCTGCTGCACCAAGATCCCCCTGTGATTCATACACAGGGTAGAGTTGAAAAGTTGCTAGCTATTATCACTGCCCCTGAAGATAGTGATTTTTTTTTCCGTTTCCTTCATTGACTTATGCTCTCCTTTATGAGTATCTCAAATATTTGGTTTTCTGCTCATTTATTTGTTCATTCTTTCCCCCACTGACCATTCATTAACCACCATAAAATACCAAGTGATTGAGAATGTAAAAAAGATAAATGTGAAGAGTTAAAGAGGGCCACCTCAGTTTGGTTAGGATCTAAGACAGATAAGAATGAAGTCTTGGATTTTATGGTTGTTTTCACTTGAATTTACCATCAACATAAATAAATAGCTAGCAGTGCAAAACTTAGAGATAAGATTTAGGTATAGGTGAGTGAGTGGAAAGGGCCTCCAGTGCCTCCCCATTTCTTCATCAGGCAGTACCTGAAGTTTGGAGGTCTAAGATGGCTGGGAAGTATGAGGGACTCACCAGATGAGAGAAGGAAAAAGAAAACCGGGTATACAGCCTTTCATACCATTAGGCTAGGGTGATGGGGGAGTCTTGTCTGTGGCCGTAGTTGTGTCCATCACCCTGTAAGGGCATTCCTCCAGCACTACAACTACTATGTTCTTCCCAGTGACCTTGGTGTGCTGTAACACACACAGGATTGGAAGCTCAGAGTCTAACTCTGTTCTTCTCTCGCTTTACCATCTTCCTCAGAAAGATTCTTTGATACTAAGTTTTATCTGTTATTTCTGCCCTAGTGATTTTCCCTACATGTCTAGCCTTAAGCCCAATCCCATGGCCTAGAATTCATATTATCACTTTCACCTAAAACTCAGTATGTCCCCAACCCACTTTATCACCTTTTCCTTAGATGGGGTATCCCTTAGTTCCCACATTTCAATCTGGACCCACTAGTTCATCTGTACCCATGTGCTCACTAAACCTTGAACCCCTCTGACTAATACTAATTTACACTCTAGGTTGAACCAGTCACCGGTAGCTGTCATGTCTTTCTGTCCAATACCACTTTGATTCATTCCTTCACCTGCACTTGTAGTTTATCACTGTCCCTTATAAATTCATACTCTGTCGTCTCATTACTAACCACTGCAGTAGCCTCCAGTATGTTGTGCATACATTTGTTCTTTTTTTTGTCTCCAACTATTCTTCATGCCAGTCCATTGAAGCATTCCCCTTCTACTAATCTTAAATATCATGTTCAGCATAGACATAGCATGTATAAGTTGGAAAGAAATTTTTAAAGTTCTCTCCTTTAAATTCCTCATCATTCAGAAGAGGAGATTGAGGCTCAATAAAGAGACTGAAGTTAAATAAATCCTGTGACTAGTTGGCAAAAGTAATGACACATATATTCTGACTTATAGCTGAATTGCTTCTCTAAAAGAAAAAGATTCATTGTAAACTACGTTAGGCATGCAGGAAAACACCATGAACAAACAACCCAGGTTAAGACATAGTTTCATTGCTGTTTCGCCCAGACCATATAAATAATTGCCATAGACTAAAATTGGATAATGCTCAATGGATTATCAGACTTGTCATGATTTAGAATGGGGTGACAGATCTGATGAGAAAGGACATATTATTCTGTAGGTGGCAGTCAGCTAAGCACCCAACTCTTGGTTCTGGCTCAGGTCATGATCTCAGGGTGCTGGGATTGAGCCCCATGTTGGGCTCCTCACTCAGCAGAGTCTGCTTGAGATTTTTCTCTCTCTCTGTCCCATCTCCCACCCCATGCTTGCACTCTCTCTCTCTCTCTAATAAATAAGTAAATCTTTTTAAAAAATGGGGGAAAGGAATTGAGGAACCTTTAGACACTGCATAGCTTTAGGAAAATTATATTTCTAAATTTCATTTTCTTCATCTATAAAATGGGATGTCACACTCTTTGGGCAGTTGTGAAGATTAAATGAGATATGTGTAGAAGCTTTCTATAAATTTTGAAATGCTAAAAAACATAAGGAATTATTACAGCATGTGACTATGTCATGCTATACATAGAGAAAGCAGGCAGCAAAGATTCACTGGGACTGTAGTTAACAAAGGAAGTTAAAACAAGTTAGAAATGTTCAGAGTGAAGACACGATGAGAATATTCCTAATAGGTTATATTAGAGAGTAACAAGTGCTGTGTGTTTCATTGGTATTAATAGAAATGATAAAGGTTTTCATTTCTTAGCAAAAGAGAAGGAGCTATAGAATGGAGTCCTTAACATTGTTATCAAAATATAATTAGCCCCCTTTGAACTATTACATACTATATTAAATGTACTTTTCATTAGTTCATGGGCAAAGAAAAGAAAATGGAAAGCAGAATGGAAATTAGATTGGCATCCATAAAAGCCATAAGATAACAATAAAAATGTATGATATAGAAGTGAATATTTTATATTAAATTAGAGGCATTGAATTGGAATTTAAACTTATGGAGTTCAGAAAATCTTTTATGAGCTAATTTCCCACAGTAATGAGAAACTAAACATCTAAGTTGAAATGTCCTTTTCTACATATAAGAACAAAAATAAAAGTGAATTAACCCATATCACTATAGTTATAATTAGAGGAAAGACAGTAATAGAAAGGTGAGAAAAGATGTTGAATAATCTTAGTTCTAGTGTATCTAGTGCTTCCACTGTATGTTTCATGATTTTGAAATGATTTAATCGCACTCCCTTAATTCTAGAATAGGTAGAATCATTCACATGTTGCTTATTATTTTTTATTTTTTTTTTAAGATTTTATTTATTTATTTGAGACAGAGAGCACATGAGAGGGGGGAGGGTCAGAGGGAGAAGCAGGCTCCCCGCCGAGCAGGGAGCCCGATGCGGAACTCGATCCCGGGACTCCAGGATCATGACCTGAGCCGAAGGCAGTCGCCCAACCAACTGAGTCACCCAGGCGCCCCATGTTGCTTATTATTAACAAACTTAATATGATAATGAACTTGGTTGTCTACTACAACTTTTGCTATCTGACTCACTCTTTCCCTCTTCATTGAAGAGTAGAGCATTCTAATGGTCTGGTAGTCTAATAGGGAATTACTATTTCATACACATTTATAAAATCTTTGCCCCCAAGAGATTCATTTAATCTATCATACATGTTAGATGTTGTCATTGTTTATTAATATCATTAAGATATCTGGTTCCATTTTTGTTGGAATAGTGTTTCTAGGCAAGGCCAAAAATAAGTGACTCATTCATTGCAAATTATAAAGTAATCAGTATCTGGAAATCTGGAGACTTATAAGAATTTATTTCTTCTTTGAAAAAATTAGCTACAATCATTTCAAATGAGCTAAGACTTATGGAATTTGTGAGTATATAATCAAAATATAAGCAGTGTGATTTTAATATAAGAGCATAAGTCAATGTCAAATCATAATTTGATAATACCGTTAGTAATTACTTAGCTTTTTGGTGAAATATGTGACTATTCTCTATAAGATTAAAACTTATTCATCCAAATAAAAGTCTTAAAAATGAAAGAGAAACATTTTTTTCTTCTATATCAATTGTCATCATATATTTCTAAGTAAAATTATCATCATATTAACCCAAGGAGTCATGAAAATATTTTATGCCTTGGCTTAGACTCTTATAGTTTCCATAGGACAACCAAATATACTACTCAGAGATACAATTTAAGAGTTACTATAAAAGGGGTACCTGGGTGGCTTAGTGGGTTAAGTGTCTGCTTTCAGCTCAGGTCATGATCCCAGGACCCTGGGATCGAGTACCTCATCAGGCTCCCCTGCTCAGAGGGGACCCTGCTTCTTCCTCTGCCCCTCCCCCTGCTTCTGTGCATGTGCACACTCTGTCTCTCTCTCTCTCTCTCTCTCTCTGTGAAATAAATAAATAAATAAATAAAATCTTAAAAAAAGAGTTACTACAAAATAATTCTGGAACATGATAACTCTTTTGGAATTTTAATTTATCCTTATCAAAGGTACATCTGCATTTACCCATTTTTAATTTTACTTTTTAAAAATTCTTAGTCATTCTTTTTTTTTTTTTTTTAAGATTTTATTTATTTATTTGACAGAGAGAGACATAGCGAGAGAGGGAACACAAGCAGGGGGAGTGGGAGAGGGAGAA